TAACAAGAAGCTAGTAGAAACAAGTGCATCGCTTCTAGTAACAAGTGGCTTTCTAGTAGTAACAAGAAGCTAGTAGAAACAAGTGCATCATGGGGCGAAAGACCTGAACCACCGTTCAGCATCGGCCAGACTTGAAAGACACCTTGACTACACCTGCCTGTCACACCATGCAGCTGTTTCGTATCAGAGATGGAGTGGCTAGGAAATTCACTCTCGCCGCTTGATGAAGCCTCCGATTCAAGTTATGGATATGGCCTTGGCCGACCTGGCTACAGCTGCTCAATGTCCACTTAAGCTAGGATTTGAGGACTTTGTAAGCCCATCTAAGCCCTATTGTTCACTGTTCACTATGATATAATTGAAGCAGTCATTAGTTGCTGCATGTTGAACTGGTGGGTTCCCCTTTCTTGTGAGCGAGGCAATTCGAAGTCCTGCTCAAGCAATACGCTTGCATGCATCAGCAGCTTGAGCACAATGGCGCCAGACGACCCAGAAGACATGCAACTGAGCTCGAGATTCCTCTACAAATTCTGATTGCCTTGTTGTTGTTGCGGTAAACCTATTGGCACATGACATCGAACACACTCAACAAAAGCAGTCCTGAGTGCCAGAGTGCAATGTTGACTCACGGAAAACTTCTTGTCAATACTGCCGAAACAGCAACAATCACAACTGCGACATGGCACAGTGATGTAAGCATAACTAGGACAGAACTCAGCGCATGTGACAGCAACAGTACATTGCGCAAAGCGTTTAACTGCAGCAAACACTGGAGAGGTATGTGCATACGTGAATCATTCATGCGATATTTTTGATATTGCGACATATTGTTCCAATCTGGTCTCACATCAGTATATTCTATTTTCACCTGTCTCCGGAAATGCGAACCTTTAAATGCAATTTATATATATATAATATATAACTTCGTTTCAATATTGTGTAATATTCTAACTGTGTTTTCCAAACTGTAATGAGCCTGAATTTTAAGTAATTAACTTTTGCGAAACTGCTTGATTTAGATATGTACAGGTCAGCCTTTTGGCAATTTGACCCCCAAAAGTCCCTAACTCCCAGGCATCACGTGGATGGAGCTGAGAGCCCCTCAAAGTGTGAAGTTCGCGAAGGCTTGCTCAGTGGACTCTTGAATGCATTTGCAAGTTTACTACTAGTAGCAAAAAACTACCAGGTGGAGGCCATCACTATTAGGTTGGCAGCCATCGTGGTTGGCAGCCATCGTTACTAGTACTAACAAGCTACTAGGAACAATGTAAAAGTGAAAGCTTAACTTGTTAAGCAAAGATGTTCAAAGCTTCGGCGGGTGGATGTATCATTTGTACGTGCAACGTGGCAGAGTGCAACGCACGCCATGCTAATGATAGTTTATGCTGCATATTGTATGGCACATGCGTGATGCTGCTGCACAAAAGACAACCTGGCCCGAACCTCTATGATGGGATATGATGGAGGTGGTCAAGGGAATGTTTCCTTTTTCGATAGCAACTTCCCACCACTGTTCCAATGACCCGATTCCAGTTCTGCTGACAAGGACTAATGTCTCCAGTTTTTTGTCGCTCTAGGCAACTGTAGATGAACGTGCATGCAGTGCCGTTTATGTTGCAGAACACAGATGAAGTGAACTCTTTCGAGTTCAGAAGAAACGGATGCCTCAGAGATGAGATGGCGGCATATGGAAGAATGTGTGCAAGTGATTGTCCGTAGGTTGGATATGGAGGGCATCTGGCAATGTGTGATTCTCATGGGTAAAAGATGTTTAGAGATGCTAGAGATGATGCCCACAGAATAAGAAGTTTTCAACAAGCTGCGGGAGAGGGCCCTAGGAGATAAGATCATCTTCTATCAAGATGCAAAAAGATGGGTCCCGGTTATGAACCTCAAGCACGTTGCAAGAGTCTAACAGTGACCCTGGAACCTTCAACGTCATTTCTCGTAGCAATGACAGCTAGCCTTTTGGCTTTGCATGGTACCCACACCCACACAGAGTGCATACATGCATGTTGAATGGCTGCACACATAAGTTGCACACAGGAGGTTGAATCCTCGACAACCCTTTGTGCTGTGTCAATAATTAGTGAGCCTTGACTTTTCTGAGCCAACTGGCAACATTGATACACGCATTATGACATCCTGCCCATTGCAGACAAACGCACGATAAGACTTCAGAACGAAGCCATTATCGGAGCTTATGCCTATATAGGATGCCGATCATTTCTGGAAAGACGAGAGTCGGCTTTCCCTGCTCCGCAAAACCTCAGGACGTAAGCATTTACGAACTGCTGGGGACCGCGAATGGCATACCTTTACCGTGGCTTGGATCGGAAAGGCAGTCACCTAGCAAAGCAAACGCAGTCGAGAACAGGGAGACACTCCCCCAAAGCCTTGTGTGCGAGGTCCGATTGCTTCTTCCCTTGGAAGAGGATAAATCTTTGTTTCTGGAGGATTCTGAGGCTGCAAATAAATCGGCGAGGTGTCTTGAGGAGATTAAGTTCCTTACACGGCAAACATTTGCACAGTTCAATAGCACGTTGCCTGGAAAGCCACATAGCATCCAGCAACATCCTGCAATAGGGATGCAGTCTGTTGGAAAACGCACAACATGGATACACTTTGGATACACAAAGCTGTGTGTGTGTTGCTGCCTTTAGGATTCAGTGTCGCCTTTGTCCGAGCCAGAGACCATGGGAGACATAGGACTGCCTTTTTTCCAATGTATAACTGTTTGTCAGCTATGGCAAAATACTACAAATGGGCACCAGAGAGAGAAGGGTTGTGTGAAGGTCCGGCGCATAAGTGTTGAGATGATTGGTTGGTTGATTTGATGAGGAAGTCAGCTAGCAGGACACATGGTGACGCGATGCCGGTCGGCTTCAGCATCCCCCTGTTTTGAGAGGTGTAGATCGCCACAGGCAAGGACATCGATGACTCCTTCAGACCCCGCCTTGATAGATGTGCCATTATGTGCCCCTCGCTGTGAGAGATCAAGGGAGCTTAAGGCGTCATCAAGGTTGCACACCTTGCATGTTCGCTCTTTTGTTGAGAGGTGGACGATTTCAGAATTTTAAGGTTGCAAGGGCTACACACATGGAAAAGCGGAAAAAACTAAAATCCCCCTCAAGCACCGAAACAAAAAAGCAGAGTTGCAAGTGGGGAGGTAGAGGACGCTACTAGGAGCAAAGGGCATCGCCACTAGGAGCAAGGACGCTACTAGGAACAAGTGCCTTCGATGATGTTGGACAGGCACTGAATGAGGCGGATGACAAGTTCCGTGACTATGCAAAGGTGATTGCCCGTGATGTCGCAAGAGTCTACACAGGTGGTTTGTCTACAGTTGGTATTGGTGGAATGATTACGTTGAAGCAGTTTGAACATGTTTGCACTATTTACAAGCCAATGATCAGGGGGATTTGGGGCTGCAACCTTTCATGCGCTCCAAGGCCACGAGCAAGTCGACCAGCTTCGTTTGGAGATGGCTGCTGTTTTGAGGGGTGGGGATCGGCAGACAAGTTGCTTCTGTCATTAAATCCGGCAGTGTGTATAGCCTTGTTCTTTTCCCTAAGACGGATGTTTGATGATTTTGCCGCCTCTTGAGGTGCAGTGTTTTCTCTATTGTTGCGCTTTTGTGTTGCCTTTTCTGTCCGTCTCCTATCTCCCTCTCTCTCTTCCTGTTTTTGTTTTCCATGGTTGTCACGATTGTGGGAGGCTATGCTCGGAAGAATCCGCATTTGGGCTACACTCAAGGGATGTGCTTCCTTGCAGCTGTAACTTGCAGCAAAGGAGTCCCAGCTGCAGGGGAAGTCATTGGTCTTGTTTATCACTTGGAATCAAGAAGTGAAAATCCTTGCGTGCCGCCTGCAGAAGAGTCACAGTCGGGCAGAGAACGAGTGACACAGAGTGACCAAGGGCGAGATTCCCTCATTGCAGAGCAGCTCTTTGCAGACTATATGGCATCATTCAAGTCACTCCAGCCAGAAGTCAATGCCAATGTTTATAGTTTTTCTGTTTCATGCTGATTCTGTGACTGATGTGCCCCCGATTGCGGATGATTTCTGTCGACTTTTCCGTCCAATACTTTCTATGCTTCAGGATGGTTAACAGGGGAAGCCGATTGATTTGAGATCGGGATAAATATATAATAAGAATGTTGAGGCGGCTTAATTATACAATGTGAAGCTTTCCAAGCTAGTGTAGTACTTGCCTTTGTTTGCTAGACACAGTCACATTGAGTCATCAGCAGCATTCTTCCTTGGCAGAAACGACTCTTGGACATCTCTGGCACTTGACGGGAAGTGGCTTTGGTATTTTTGTATCACTTAAACTTAAAACTTTTCGAGACTTCAGGTTATCGATATCTCTGAGTCTGAGGTTGCTTTGGTCCCAGGACTTTCCTTTGATTGATGAAGGGATCCCTTTACTGCAGAGTGTGCTCGACAAGACTGACGGACAGTTGAGCTACCATCTCTTCCAGACACTAGGACAGATGTTTGCTTCTTGAGGTTCACAAGAATCGCCGATTGAGTCACGACAGAGCGTCAGCAATTTCGCCCCTATAAGAAGGCTTTCTTGGGAGACGCATTTGGGGCCAAGAGACTCCACAGGACTGAATTTGACGGCAGTCCTTCCCACTGCGTGGCTCTCTATGTTTGGAAAGTGGCTTCCCTTCGAGCAACTCCTTGAAACAGTGCCTTTGGTGGAACTGAACAGGAGAACAATTGAGGGAGAACATGAGTCGGAGGGAATTGAGGGCTTGTGTGGTTCATGTATTCGGTATTTGATTTTTGTAACACCACATCACATCTTTGTATTCCAGATTGGTTGGCCTTTCGCTTTGCAACTTGCAGTTTCTCTCAGGTGCCATTTCTGGCATCTGCTGGCCTGGCTGGCTTTTTGACCGTCACAATCGTCATCCTCACGTCGTGTCTTGATGCCAAGAAGGACCAAAGAGGGAGGAATGGTGAGGCAGCTCAAAAAAGTACACCCCCTTGGGAAAATGGTGATATTCTAGTTATTGTTTTTTGAGTTGTTTCTTTGATATTTTCTGGGGGCTTTTTCTGGGAGTGCTTTAGAAGCATCACGAGCAGCAGAAGGGTCAGGAGAAGAAGCAGCAGAGCCAGCGGGGGTGAGTTTTACCCTTGCGTGGCTCACAAAGGCCTGCAACGTTGGAATGGTTCCTTCCTCCTCTGAATTTTATCCTCAGATGGCTGACACAAAAGTCTTCTACCTTAGCATGGCTCCTTCCTCCTCGAATGTTTACCCTCGGGTAGCTCACAAAAGGTTACTTTCAGGTGGTTCACAACAGGTTTGCTACATTGGAATGTGTCCTTCCTCCTCTAAACTCTATCTTTGGCTGGCTTACCAAAGCTATGCTACATTCGACTGCCTCCTCCCTCTCCTAAATTTTAACCTCGAGGGGCTCAGAAAAAGTCTGCTACCTTGGAATGGCCCGTGCATCCTTTATATTACTGCAATACAGTTTTACCCTTGCGCTCACAAAAGGTCCGCAACATTGGAACAGCTCCTTCCTGCTCTAAAACTTAACCTCAGGTGGCTCACAAAAGGTCTGCTACATTGTAATGGCTCCTTCTTCCTCTAAACTTTACCCTCATCACGCCGCGTCTGTTTCCTGGCATTGGCAGGTCCACCATAACGGTCGCTCACAGGCGCAATCAAGTGACGAAGCCGTAGGAGCTGCGCCGCGCAATTATTTATATAAAGTAAAGCGATGAAATGCTATGAACATGTATCATCTCACTTCCACATGCAGTCTTCAGCAGCCAGAGAAACCATTGACTCCCGCTTTTCTGCGTCGAAGCTCCATCCCCATCATCCAGAAAGCAAACAGTGTTGAGATGCTATGAAGACTCCAAGATTGTGATCGCCTGTTTTACCTTAGCCTCAGGTGGCTGGACGACAACTCCTTCGCTACAAGCAGAAAGAGATAGAATCACCATGAATCGCCGCATCACAGACCACAGAACAATCATCGCTGGTTGCAGGAGGCAACTCGCAGACCTTCGTGCCATTGCGACCACTTGTCCAATCCAAGGTATCGATCGGACCTTTTGGGCCATCAGACTGTCGAGGATGCTTTGATGTTTATCACTGCCTTGCGCAGAATGCCGGTGCCATCCAATCTCATGTTTTCGTGCCAACTGACTCTTCCAAGAGTGAGGGCCCAGGCGCGGGACTCTAAAAGCTATCGACTTGCGGTTGATGATGGATTTGTTTTCAAATCTCTTGTCTCCCTTCCAGGTCCCTGGCTGAGATGTCAGGGTTGGCGCGGCACTGTGTTAATGAAGCAGAGACGCGTGAGACAAGAAGTGAAGGTCTGGTAAGTCTGGCTGAACTTAGCAAGGCACTATATAAACCAGTTAAAACATGTTAAAACAATGAGGATGGTGGACAACATGCTTGTTTGATGTCAATGCTGCATGATGATGCCAGAGTTCGGCTATGATCGTTTCTTTTTGCTGACCGCGTCTTGTGCAGACTAGCCGCAATGGAATAGTGTCCCGTGGCCCCATGCGCTTGGGGACCAAAAGTGGCACAACGGTGGTTCGTTTTTTGGAAGTTTCACCGCTCGTCACCAAAGGGTTGGCAGTGTTTGGCAACTTGCCCTCCCTGCACCGCTTACACAAAGCTTGGTGGTACTGCCTTGCAAGCTCTGATTTCGAGCCATGGCAGTGGATTCGGCCGTTGCAAATCTCAATGTGAATTATCCTGAGTGGTGCTTTTCCAACTAGGCAGCAGGAGCCAGGGTGAGAGTGCATATCCGCTTGTCCCGTTTGTAAAATCAGGACAACCATGCTCATGTTCAAACTCGTGCCACATGCAAAACGGTATTTAAATGATGCATTTAAATTGTTTGAGGGTTTCGTGGTTGTGGGACTGCTCTGAAGTGAACATCGACAAAGGAAACTCTCGGTAGCATAGAAAAGTCTCCCTATGTCTATTCATAAGAGGTCAACATCAGTTGGATGGCTGCAAGCGGCTACTGTGCCATGCCATGTATCTACGGAGTATTGTTTAGTTTGTGTTCAGAAAATTTGTCGTTCATTTGGCAGATATGTGGACATGTGTGGACCAGTTTGTGCCAGCATAGATGTTGTATATTAGAGGGCAGTCACATCTAGTCACCTAGTCACCGAAAGAATTCAAAAGGGGAGCCGAAACTAAAACCTTTAGACTTTCGACCTTTTCATACCGTTTCTATTTCTTTTCTTCCCTTTTTCTTTTTACATCCAGTTGAATATCCACCGTCCGTGTGTGGTCTTATTTCACCTTAATGCTGAAACTCATCGAGTCCCAACTTTTGTGCAACTCGGACCCTTGGCTCAGAACTGCCCGGAGTCCAAGCACTATGACTAGCTTTGTACAGTGCACTTTCCTCGAGTGTCCTGAGCCGTCGGGGTTGTTTGAAAAAGGCGTAAGGTGCACACGGCCGCCCTTGATTTGGTGCACGTGTTGCTCAGCAATTCTCACTTGCTTTATGACACATGTCTAGTTCATTCTAGTTCCCGCTTACTGCAGCATTTCCACTCTTTTTTGCATTGGGTAGGCCATTTGCCAATGCAAGCATGTTATTGTTTTCAAACGCCCCTTCAATCTTCTGCAGCCCAACATTGAATAAGTTGCTTGGGCATGCCTGGGCTTTTTTATCCTCATCCTTGTCCTCAAGTTACGGCCCCCACACCAAAAATTACATAACATCAGTTCCCGCTTCTTGATAGTACATATGAAGTAAGATAAAGGGTTAGCCACCGCTATGGCACCAAAGGCAAAGATGCGCAAGGCTGTAGGTGCAAAGTTCAAGCTGACTGAGCCACACAGCCAAACGTTTCAAGATAAAGAGACCAAGGATACTGGAACGGAGGAGCAAGCTTTGAAGGCGAAACTGCCGCTGAAAAGAAAGCGGGGATCCAAAGCAACCAAAACTGATAAGCCTGGTGTTGAGACATCAGCACATGCGACGGAAGCTGAGGAAGCTCCTCCTAAGACTAAACGAACAAGTCAGGCTCTTTTCCGGACCGACGCTTCATTCTCAAAGCTCGGATTAGCCAATTGGATTGTACAGACCTGTGGGAAACTTGGCATGAACTACCCTACAGATATACAAGCAATGTGTATTCCGCACGTTCTGGCTGGCAAGAACTTGGCAGGCAATGCCAGAACCGGAAGTGGCAAGACCGCCTGCTATAGCATGCCAATCCTACATCACTTGTCAAAAGATCCATACGGAGTTTTCGCCCTGGTGCTAGTGCCGGTTCGCGAGTTGGCATTTCAAGTCACCGAGAATTTCCGTGCAATGGGTCAATCAATCAATGTGAAGGTTGGGGAGATAGTGGGTGGACGAGACTTCTCCATCCAAAGCCAGATGATTGCAGATCGAACTCATGTGCTGGTCGCAACTCCTGGCCGGTTGGCAGATCTTTTGCGAGGCGATTTTGCCCTTGCAAAGGCCTTTCGGAAGTTGCACACACTTGTGTTGGACGAAGCTGATGCAAGCCATTCAATTCAGACAGTTTTGCTGGTCACGTACCTTTTTGAGGCGCTATTGGTTAAAAAATCAACACACGCTTTGTCTCGGTATGCATATTTTCATACTGTAAAGAAACACAGGTTTTGAGTTCATTTGAGTTCAATGGTGTGTATCTAAGGACCAGTTGTTGACTCAGACCTTTGAGGAACCGCTGGGCAATATACTGGAATTGTTACCCAAATCCCGTCAGACTTTGTTTTTTTCTGCAACCATCACCCAGTGCATTCAGAAATTGAAGCAAGGAAGGGACAAAGAGCTCACATTTGTCGATGCCAATCCTAACGAGGAGAGCTTGGAGAATTTGACGCAGTTGTATGTCTTCGTGCCTAAGTCAGTGCAGGTAAACTACTTACATTATTTGCTGAAAAACAATTTTCCAGAGGATAGCTGCATTGTGTTTGCGCCCACTATTGAGGAATGCCAGCTTTACACCACGATGCTTGACATTTTGGGCTTTGAAGTTACTGGACTTCATTCGCTTCAAACACAGAGACAAAGGCTAGCAAGCTTAGGAAAGTTCCGGGCCAGTCGTGCAAAGATCCTCATTGCGACTGATGTGGCTAGTCGGGGCTTGGATATTCCCATGGTAGCAGTTGTGATGAATGTAGGGCTGCCCTTTGATTCCGATTCCTATGTCCATAGGGCTGGGCGAACTGCAAGAGCCGGGCGGCCTGGCAAGGTGGTCTCATTGATGAGTGAATTCGATGTCCCTCGGGTGGAAGCAATTGAGAAACGAATTGGCAAGCAACTGCAGCTACTGGAGACAAAAGAGGAAGATGCCATCAAGCTGCTCACTTGCGGGGAAGGGGTCCCTTTTCAATTGTGTGTTTTTAATATAATTTAGTATATACATTGATTTTCTGACAATTTTCTGGGACTCAAGGGTTATATAATTGAAACATGTGTTGCTTGAGGCGTCTGTCCAACAAATCCCAACTACTTGCCTTCACAGTCATTGAAGCACGTGAGGCTTTTGTCGAAGACCACCAAGGCTCAACAACGTGCAGAGCTTTTGTTGTCGGAGCTTGGCTTCACAGATCAAGTCACTGAGCATCGAGGGGCTGTTCGAGCCCAGAAGCTCTCTAAAGAAAAGAGCCTCAAAAACCCAGTCAATCCGGAAGAGGTTGCCAAGGATCATACCACGGTTTCGGCTCTCAAAAAGACGCCAAAAAGGAAGAAGCCAGCACAGCCGGCACGACCGACACCTTCATAGGTGCGTCCTAAGGACTTGCCAGAGGGTTGAAGGTTGGAGGAAAACTGAAGCTGCTGAGAGTCCGACCTTGCTTCCAGTGGCCGTGCATGAACTTGATGTGCAAGCACGTAGCTACCCATAGTGATGATTCAAAGAGTTTTCCTGTGTGCGTTGGCTTTTTGGATTTTTTGGTATGGAATTTTAGCACAAAGTCATCAAAGGAAGCCATTATATAGATAATTGAAATATGATGTATTGTGCACAGGCACGCTCCATGTACAATCATTCATAGCATATTTAAGCACCGACCACTTATATACTATGAAATATATACTATGAATGCTTTGCTAGAGTTGCTGTGGCATTCGATCCAGAGCCTCAAGTGTATGTGCAGCCACCGCAGCTGCAGGGTTACTGTACAAACAACAAAGCATGGAGAGTAGAAGAGTGCCATGCCACAGACACGCAAGTCAGGTCCACTGGTCACTGGTCCACTACCGGCTAGCTTGAGACAAGAATTCAGCTTGAGACACAGCCAGCACGAACTTTCAAAGCCTCGCACAAGCCATCCTTTGTTATATAAAAGTTACAATTGTTACAAAAGCCAGCCGAAGGCTAGGCTGGAGCTCTGTCTTGCGAACAAGGTGGGTACATAGGTGGTGTACTGTAGGGGTGAACCCAGAGTCTGCTGAAGAGTTCAAGATTTCTGTGGCCAAAATATGACCCTATGACTGCCTTGGTCATGCAAATGATGCCACGACACTTTAAGCTAGCATTTTTTGCATCATCGACTAGCCATGGTAAATTTGCCGGTTTGAGTATAGCAAGATGTTGTAAGATATGTACAGTGTTAAGCCTGTTAAGCCTCGTAAATAGCGCTGCATTGGATGAAAAACAATGTAAAGTACGTTGGTTTTGGACGCGGAAGTTTGTGGATTTGTGGGGGCAAGCTCGTAAAACGCAGGGTTTGGGCCGCTGTTTGAGATGAGCTGGGTGTTGAAAGGCACACGGGTTTGAAGAAACCTAGACGCGGAGAGTTGAAGTTTCTTGGCTGGTGCCCTGTTGCGTTTTGTTGGGAGGCTGTCTAGGGGCAAAAGAAGGCACCTCCGAAAAAATGCAAGCAAGGCACGGCAAATGCATCTTCGAGCACCTTGAAGGACTTGTGAGCCGCTGCTTGAGATGAATTGTCGATGCAGGTGTGGAAAGACACTGCGCGGTACAGAGATCCAGAAGCAGAGGGCCGAATGAAAAAACAAAAACAACTTATATAAGGTGCATTTCTGGGTTGGTGCCCTTCTGTGCTTTGTTTGAGGGCCATATCGCGGCAAAAGTAAGGTACCTCTGAAAGCCATGCAAAAAAAGCTTAAGGATGAGTTCTTATTGGTGCCGTTTTGCTTTTCGCCCAAAGAGGGCACCTCCGAAAAACAGCAGGACATGGCAGTTGCATTTTCAAACTTCAAACAATATAAACATTAGCTGGTATAGAAATTGGAAACCACTTGGACATGTATGAGTGTGAAAATTGGATCTGGCTGCCCTGGCCCAAATATGACCCTTCAATTTATTACAAAAACATTTTGCATCGCAGAGCGAACAGCCAAGATTTGCCTGATTACAAAAGCCAGCCTTCGTAGAACGCGCCAGCTGAGTTGTGTTTGGCGAGGGGTGTACCCAAAATAGCTACAATTCAGCTACCAGGTATAGTACTTCAAGCTCCCTTTCCGTCAGCCGCTCGATTACCTTTACACGCGCACAGCAATCCACAGCTTTGAAGTCTCATTCGTGCTTTGAACTTGTATAGGTGTGTAAGAGGTATAGCAAAATAGCATTTATACGGACCCAGGGTAGCTACCTCTTACACACCTATATAATTTCAAAGCACGAATGAGACTTCAAAGCTGTGGATGGCTGTGCGTGTGTAAAGGTTATCGAGCGGCTGACGGAAAGGGAGCTTGAAGTACCATACCTGGTAACTGAATTGTAGCTACCTGGGCATCTATACCTGGCAAGGCGCCAGCTGAGTAAGAAGGGGGTTTCGTGGGGGTGGCCTGAGAAAGCACACTCGAAAGTAGGTGGTGTGTAGGGGTGCATGGAGGTGTTTTTTTGTGATTTTAAGAAATGCAATTGTCTTCGGTTGCTTGAAGTGCTTTACTTGGCAACTGAATTGTATCTACCCATGGGTACACTTGGCAACTGCCTTGTAGCTGCCCTGGGTCCGCGCGCGCGCGCGCCTAAATCTAGGGCAGCCGGGAGCCAGCAAGGCGCGCGCGCCCGGACCCAGGGTAGGGAAATTGAAGTGCGATACTTGTCAACAGAATTCTAGCTACCCTGGGTCCGTATAAATGCTATGTTGCTATGCCTTTTACACGCCTATATAAACTTCAAAGCGCGAATGAGACTTCAAAGCTGTGGCTGGCTTTCGGCTTGCAGCTTCTCAGGTGTGTTAGGTTTTAAAATGCTTTTTAAAACTTTTCAAGCTTATACAGATGGAGGCTGATGGACGGTTCCAAGTGTTCATTGTATAAAGAAGGAGTGGGCGAGCCAACATATAGTATTGTAGAGTTTGATGCTTTCATTTCTCAACTCAACTCGTTTTGATTCGAATTCCGTTCAATTGGTTCAATGGCGTCGATCATCAACATGACTGTATGGGCAGCAAACTGTATGACTGTATGGTTTTGGAAGGTGGTTTGTATGCATAAGGCTTCATCGACCTGCATTGTAGAATACACACCCAACATCACCCTTGGACTGGAAACCACAAATGGATACCTGGAGAAGAATTCCTCCATTCTTAAATCATCTCCATCATTCACCTTTGGCCTCCTTGGGTGTTGATTTATAGACCTGGGTGGGCCGTGCTTTGTTCCCCACCCGTAGGACTGTGGGGTTGTTAGATTTTTAGAACTTTGGACTTCAGTACGCCCGGTAGCCCAACTTAGCTCTTCCACAGCACACTGGCCAAAGTGATCCCTGAGTAG